TATTTAAGACCAAAATTGCATTTACGACCAAATTGAATTTAAAGTCAAATCACAATTAACACAGACCCGTATTTAAGACCAAAATTACATTTACGACCAAATTTAATTTAAAGTCAAATCACAATTAACACAGACCCGTATTTAAGACAAAAATTGCATTTACGACCAAATTGAATTTAAAGTCAAATCACAATTAACACAGACCCGTATTTAAGACCAAAATTGCATTTACGACCAAATTGAATTCAAAGTCAAACCACAATTAACACAGACCCGTATTTAAGACCAAAATTGCACTCAAGGCCAAACCCATATTTAAGGCCAAACCACAATTTACACAAACCCTTATTTAAGACTAAATTTCATTTAAGGCAAAACCCGTTTTAAGACCAAAATGCATTTAAGACCAAAATGCATTTAAGGCAAAACCACAATTTACACAAACCCTTATTTAAGACCAAATTTCATTTAAGGCAAAACCCGTTTTAAGACCAAAATGCATTTAAGACCAAATTGAATTTAAGGCAAAACCACAAAACCCGTTTTAAGACCAAAATTGCATTTAAGGCCAAACCACATTCACACCACCTGCATTTAAGACCAAACTTACATTTAAGGCCAAACCACATTAACACAAACCCGTATTTAAGACCAAAATGCATTTAATACAATATCATTCATACAACAGTGAATATAATTATATAATTCAATGGTAAAATTAAATCCTATTCCTGAATGAATATGGACACACTCGAGGGTGGTCCTAAATGACAGAATGAAAATTCCAACCAATCAGATCACAGATAATTTCCAGAGTCAGCAAGAACCTGTACATTCATGATTTGGACAAAGATATTAAGGCAATGTCATTAAGGCCAGACCCCAAGATCCATCGCAGAAAATATAAAGAAAATACATTTTTTTCATTTTTTAAAGGGAGAGGTGAATCATATTACACACACAAAAAAGAATAAACGATTAAAAAGTATATAAGTATATATATATATATATATATAATTTTTTTAAATAAGAAAAAGTAATCAAATTATAAGATAAGATAATTATAATAAGATACAATAAATAATGTATAATTATTCATTAAAATGAAAAAATAATAATCCTTTTATAATTGTTAAAATAAATATTTCAGCAACCCTGTAAAGAAAAAAAGAATATGCATAGCCCTTATGTTTATTATGTTTGTAATTTTGTAAAAAAATAATAAAATAATAATAATTTGTAGTATATTGAATAAACTACAAAATATAACAATAATAATATATAACATATATATTTAAGTTGCATACGAGAGAGAATATGCAAAATTGTTTTAAAAGCTAAATGAGGCCACGAGCGACGTTGGCTCGCTAGGGAGTCCCCGTGGGGTCACGTGATTTAGGTTTCGGTTTACGGGCCTTGGATCGTTTGGAAGTTTTCCCGATTCGTCTGATATCGCCATTTCTTCTGCTCTACAATGACCTAGGTAGGTTCCTTTTCTTATATTTATATAAATATCGTATGCTACTTTATATATCTTGTTTTATATTCGAATTTTATTATTTAATTTTAATTTTAAATATTATAAATACATATTAAAATTGACTTTTATTTATTTATTGTTTTATTTGAGTGATGTTTTATTTAAAATATATTTTTGTATGACTTTATACATTAAAAAAGGATTAGAACATTTAAAAAATGTTATATAAATTTTCCATTTGCAAAATGCGCTATAATTTCCTTGTTAGAAATAAATACCAACCGATTCTTAAGAACTACTTTTTAAAAAGTGATGTTTGTTTTTATTTAAAATTATATAAATATCGTATGCTACTTTATACACCTTGTTTTATATTAGAATTATATTATTTAATTTTAATTTTTGGTATTATAAATACATATTAAAATTGACTTTTATTTATTTATTGTTTTGTTTGAGTGATGTTTTATTTTAAATATTTTTGTATGACTTTATATATATACATTAAAAAAGGATTAGAACATTTAAAAAATTGTTATATAAATTTTCCATTTGTAAAATGCGCTATAATTTCCTTGTTAGAAATAATTACCAAACGATTCTTATGAACTTATTTTTTAAAAAGTGATGTTTGTTTTTATTTAAAATTATATGTACATAAATATTTTAAAAAGAAAGGGAAACATTTATTATTATTTAGAATTTTATAAATATTTTATTAACCCAGGTTCCTGGAGCGTAGATTATCTTTCTAAATTATGTCGCTAACCACCTGGCTGAAATTTATATATCGTGTACTTGTAAAATAATAAATTTAACTTTTAATTCAATTGATGTATTTTTATATAAAAGAGGAATTAATAGGCTGTGTGTGTGTTTTAAAATTATATAAAATTAAAAAAATATTTCGAATAGTTATTTTATTAAACAAGAATTTAAAAATGTGATGTATATGATATTTTAAGAATTAAATTGATTTTATTCTTTCTGTATATAAAAAAAAAGGATTTAATGGGAGCTGTTAAAATTATAAATTTAAAAATATTTATAATAGATATTTTTTATAATACAATAAAGAGAGATGAATTTTAAATATTAAATATTACATTACGACTTTTTAAATATTGAATAAAGTTTTACATTTAATTCAAGACAACATTTTACACTTTAATGACAATATTTTACACTTTAATAACAATATATTCATTTTTAACGGTATTTTTCATTTTTAAAAAATATATTTACAGTTTAACAAGGGTATTTTTAGTTTTTATAGAAATATTTTTATTTAAATTGTTTTATTATAGGGTTGGTTATAATATAGAATAAACCTAAATTTATATTTTTAGTTTATATTTATTTCCTTATCTAAAATTCTCATTTGAGAAGTTTATATATGCCTTTTTTTTCGTGAAGGGGTTGTGGCTACTTGTACTGTAAATAGCACCATATGTAGACATGTGTGGGACCAGATAATAATTAAAAGAGTAAATACGTACAATTAAGGTATCATTAAAGTGTCTCTCCACTAACGTAACAGTCTTATTTATACATACAAAACTGTAGATTCCAGTTTGATTATTTATCTTTACTGCTGAGTTTATACATACTGTTATATACTCTTCTACATAATATTCAATAATCTAAGGTAGTGTAGTTTCTATTAAAAGAGATTGTATGCTACTGTTATATATTTGTATAATATTTTAATATAACAGAATTATCATAAGAACTAAAAACATGAATATCTCACGTTATATATTGATTACATCACACAACAACAAACCAAGTCCTTGGTCAAAACCATATATACATATTATATATTATAAATACAAGTTTAATTTACACCGAACGAGAAGGACTGTAAGGTTCGAAAGCTCATGAAACGGTTGGTATACTAATAAAAAAAAAGAACAAGTTCCTACTTGAAATATGTTCATACTTGTAAGTAATTATATACACTCATAGACAAAACTTTAATAAGATTGATTTACACTCATGAACAAAACTTAAGGAAGTTGTATCTTTTATCATGTATATCGGGATTCTGACAATAACTCTGAAAGATATTACAGTGACCTTTATTGAAGATACATTCATAGACAAAACTTAAGGGAGTTATACCTTTTAGCATGTATATCGGGATTCAGACAATACTTTTGAAAGATATTACAGTGAACTTTATTGAAGACACACTCATGGACAAAACTTAAGGAAGTTGTACCTTTCAGCATGTATATCGGGATTCAGACAATAACTCTGAAAGATATTACAGTGACCTTTATTGAAGATACACTCATGGACAAAACTTAAGGAAGTTGCACCTTTCAGCATGTATATCGGGATTCAGACAATAACTCTGAAAGATATTACAGTGACCTTTATTGAAGATACACTCATGGACAAAACTTAAGGAAGTTGTACCTTTCAGCATGTATATCGAGATTCAGACAATAACTCTGAAAGATATTACAGTGACCTTTATTGAAGATACACTCATGGACAAAACTTAAGGAAGTTGTACCTTTCAGCATGTATATCGGATTCAGACAATAACTCTGAAAGATATTACAGTGATCTTTATTGAAGATACACTCATGGACAAAACTTAAGGAAGTTGTACCTTTCAGCATGTATATCGGGATTCAGACAATAACTCTGAAAGATATTACAGTGACCTTTATTGAAGATACACTCATGGACAAAACTTAAGGAAGTTGTATCTTTTAGCATGTATATCGGGATTGAGCAATAACTCTGAAAGATATTACAGTGACCTTTATTGAAGACATACGAGATAACCAAGTGTAAACAAAATTGACTGTGTCTCTTAAAAAAAAAAAAAACAGTCGTTCGATGATCTCAAAGACTTTCCACTTTCTTAAGGTTTGTCTATGACTATATATATATTTTTTATCCTAATATTTGCACTAATATCGGACAGGTCATGAGGCAATTTAACAGTAACTTTTCATTATAAAGGTATTATAGTGTAGTCCAGAGGTCGGCAAACTGAGAGCCACATGCGGTTCTTCGAATGTGAAGCTCTTTATATAGTTCCATATGTAAATATTATTTATGTAAGTACTATTTATTGTTGGCAAGAAAACATTTTGTGGCTCTTTAAAAATTTTGTAATTTTGTAAATTGTAATTTTTGACTCTTCAGACTCAAAAGTTTACCAACCCCTGCTCTAGGTTATTGTTTACATTGATTATTTTAAATATTTGTAGAGAATGGGAGATATAAATTTGTTTAACGAAGAATGACAATTATACCGCAAATGTTTCTTTTTGAACGAAAAATCTAAATTTATTTTAAAGAGAAATAATGATTATTTCTAACTTTAGGGATAAAGTATGAAAGGATGAATTGTGAAGAGTAATGATAAACGGAAAAATAAAGTGTCCAGGGATGGGAACCCACAGTGTTCCGCTTACTGGGCAGATGCCATGTCCACTAGGCTACCCTGGACATATTTTTCAGTCAGGGTCCAGATGTCCAGGGTAGCCGTGGGTATGTCCAGGGTAGCCTAGTGGACATGGCATTTGCCCAGTAAGCGGAACACTGTTGTTTCGATTCCTATCCCTTGACACCTTATTTTTCTGTTTATCATTACTCTTCACAATTCATCTTTTCATACTTCATCCCTAAGGTTAGAAATAATCGTTATTTCTCCTTTAAAAAATTTAGATTTTTCGTTTAAAAGAAACATTTGCGGTATAATTGTCAAATTTCGTTCTACAATCATAAGCCGCATTATATTGTATTATAAATTCGTTTGGTAAATATCTTCACTATATTCTTTTGTCTTCTCTCAGCCATAAGATCAAAACAGTGAAAACATAACCAAACGATCCCATTGTTTCTTCAAGAATTCAAAAAACAAAAGAAACAGAAAATGTAATAGACAAACTCACCTCAACCGTCAAAATAGACGTTAGAAGTGACCTTTATTTTTATAGATAAAATTTCCTCCCGGCGAAATTTCAATCTATATTTTGGCCAAAGATTTTGTCTAGCCACTTTACCAGCTAAACACCTCTTTAGAAGATTGTGAAGATATTGTCGAGGAGAAAAATAAAAGAAAGGACAAATTTGGGTATAATTAATTTATTATAAAGGGACCTCTTAGTTCTTCAATAAAATTATTTACAAGAGGTATTTATAGGGAGAACAACTTATCCCAAGGTAAAGATAATAATAATGATCGGCGTCACACACCGAGGCGTCCCGTTTTCCTTATTTGCTGATAAGATTCCGAGAACCCCTCACACCTGTGGTCCCCCCCCCCCCGGAGTACAGTGATGATTGACAGGTGTTCCATCTGGATGGAGCTTCTTGACAATATCAATTGAACCCTTGTGGATCTCATGGAATAAAGTCCGCCCTAGACTGACGAGGGCAATTA